TAGAGAGAGAGAGAGAGAGAGAGAGAGAGAGTAATTTTCCTACATTGGTGAATTTTCTCTATTAATTTATCCTTGTCTTATAAAGGAAATAACAAAGAAAAAAAATCATAACTTATCCACAAACCATACTATTTCAACTAGAAAAATGATAAGCAAGATTACTTGTATTGATGTTATAATTCATTTCATCATTCTGAGTATGAAATTGACGATTGAAATAATTTTCTAAATGTGCCTTCTTATGTCAATTATTTTATCGCGGCGAGCCATCTAGTTGGAGTAAGCCCAAATAAAGACTCGATCATATTCTTGGTACTGGTACTGTTGGACTTGGACGAGGCTGCATTTTTTTTCCTTTAGTTTTTTGCTAAAATATTTTCTTTTTAATGCTGATGTTTTTTTTTTTGTTGACGGTGAAAATTTATCAACAAAAAAATAATTAATTTTGAGATAAATTAATGCGATTCGTGACGATATAAATTACCATAGTTAAAATGTAGTAAAAATAAGAACACACGAAGATTTATTGTGGTTCACTCTCAATTTGAGAGCTACATCCACTTTAAAAATGAGGAGAGAATTCGTCTATTTTTAAGAGAATACACGTATTAATGCTCAATATGAGTCTTCCGGGGAATTTCTGGTCTATAATCCCCTATTTATAGCATAGGTCACTGCCTATAAACCTTTCTTATTTAAATTTGAGATATTTCTCTTGTCTTTTGAGATAGTTTCTTAAAAGATAGATATTACAATGAATTAGAAAATTTTACATATTTAAATTTTATATTTAAAATACAAATATTGACTTCTGGAGTAAATCTCGCTGATTCATTATTTTCTCGTAGCCTCGACTTCATAAGAATCTAGCGAAACCTCTTTGCCCCAGGTATAGCTTGAATCCCTGACTCTTTAAACACTTCTTGGAGTTTTGCGAAGCCTTGACTCCATAAGGATTGGACGACCCATCTTCACTCTTGGCACAATCTGATGACTCATCTCCATGAACGCTCTTAAAGCTTTTTAAAGAGTCGACTTCTTATTATTATTACTTAATATTTATAACGTGACATTAGGACTGAGTTGTCTACGTTCGGGCTTCTTAATGAGTCTCCGTTTTACACTACAACATTAACTGTATAAAATAATATTATAAAATCATCAGATTCGAACTACAAGCTAAAGTCCTACGAAATACGTATGTCGTATGCTATAATTAAAAATAAATAAATAAACAAAGCTGAATAAAAAAGCGTGCACGTTTTTTTCTCTTTGTGTGTGTGTTTTTCTTTTTTTATTATAAATATATGTTAATACCGTCCGTTTTTTTTGTTTATTTGAGTTTAAAATTTAAGTTTTATTACAATAAAAAATGAGAAATAGTCACATTTAATTTTTTTATTATAGTAAAAAGTTCTCACACAACATCATATCTCAACTCAAATTAGCGAACTGAACGGGTGTGTTTTACCGATTTGAGTTTTCAGTTTTAGGTTTCTATAGTAAAAAGCTCTCAAAAAATATTACATCTAACTTTTTCTATTACAGTGAAAAATTATCAGAAAATATTACATCTCAATTTAAATTAAAAATTCAAATTCGCGAAGTGAACTATGTCAATTTCTTAAAAAACTATTTAATTCAAAAAGAAAAAATTGTTTCTTTCCCCAAAAATAAAAAATAAATAAATGTTGACATCTCACTCAGACGTGAATTTAATAGATAGCAGACCCAACTGGCATGACGAAAGGGAAATTAACAATCGTTGACAATTATAGCCCTTCTCCTTGAGAAGAAGCAGACAGAGATAAGAAATTTCAACTCCATTTATCAGGAAGCTGAGAGAGCACCGATATTACATATCTATATATACATATATATATATATATATATATATAATGCTCGAAGATACTATGTAACAAAACAAGATTAAGAGAAGGGGGAAAAAAACTCGCTCAAAAATATTTATCTCTACCTCTCAGGTACATCTCTCTCTGATTTCTCTCGAGTGTGATCTTTTTTGGATTCTTGAATCATGTTTTATTTCCTTCTTTTTCTTTTTAGACTTGAATATTTGAAGTTCAATAATTTATATGGCATTGACTTTATGTACGTTTTCATGGTTTTTTATTTTTATTTTTATTTTTATTTTTACCATTTTGGTTAATGAGAGAAAGACCGGAAAAGGATTGACCTTTTCTGAACCATTTGCTTCTGATGTTTATTGTTTGGTTTGTTTCTCATTGTCTCCCAAGCCTTTTGCATCACAAGTTCTTAGTTCATAGGTGTTGAAATCCAATTACATACATACATAATATATATATATATAAGTTTTGTAATTTCTTTTGCTGGCAATATTTCATAAATCATGATCATATATGAGCAAGTTTTCTCTCTTTCATAAAAAAGACTGGCCTGTTTTTGTAACTTTAAATCTCCGAGTTCAACGCTGAATTAGCGCATTTTATGAGCTTAATATTCAACATCTATAATTTCCAGAAAAAAAAATGCCAAAAGAGATGTGAGAGTAAATGAGACTTTTCTTCAATTATTTCAGGCCCCAGACTATGGTATACAACCATTTATAGTCTCAAATGTAATTCATATTTCATAGTTTTAAATTTCTCTATTTTCCATTTTCTACCTTTTATTAGCATCAAAACTTCAAAAGGGTCGATCCAATTTGAATTTACTTTGCGTTTTAAGTTCTGATCAAATCAGATCTATCGACCGTGATTCTAGGAGAATTTAGGGTTCTGTAAATTAAACTTGCATGTTGGTGCCACTTTTCTTTTCTTTTTTTTTTTTTCTTCCTTCAAAAAAGAATTTTATAATAATAGTGCATGTTGGTCCCACTTTTTTCTTTTCTTGTTCTTCTTTTTCTTTTTTTTTTCTTTAAAAAAGAATTTTATATAATATATTAGGAGCTCATTTAGTTCACTGATTTAAATTTTTAATTTGAGTTGAGATGTAATTTTATGTAAAAATATTTTACTGTAATAAAAAAATTAAATGTGATTAATTTTAAAAAAAATTTACTGTAACAAAACTCAAATCGATAAAATAAACGATATCTAAAATCTCTCTCCCCTTTCTCAGTTTCCTTTCTGGCTGTAGCCTGTAATAGTTTGTTTTTTATTGATTGCCAGGTTAAGTCCCTTGGAATCGGCCGTAATATAATTTGGAGTTAAAAAGAAGAAAAGGTCAGATCTGCTTTTGTCATGACTTTATGATTATCCTCTTTAAATAACTAAAGAATATACGTCCTCTTGGAAGTTTTTGAATTTCCTACCATATATCCCTTGCTGAATTGTCTGTTTTAGACTTCAATGACTAATTAATATTTATCGTCATAGAAAAAGTTACAGAAGGCATTATTGGTCTGGTCTCTTTGGTCTAACAGGGGAAAAAAATGATTTGTTTGACCATGGTACTTTTGACAAGTCAAAATTTCTTGATCAAATTAAGGAACATGATTCGCTATTTTTGTTCTATAATTTAGTTATGGCTCGTTATTGAATGATTTTTTGCTTCCTTTTTCGCAGAGTGATTGGTCTGGCTTTTTTTTTTTTTTTTTTTAGCCCATTTGGAGTTTCTTAAGTGAGTTATGTTTCTAGTTTCCACATAATGGGCTGCTTTTCGTCCAAGCAAGTACCGAGAACGCCTGGCTATGAAGAGCCCACCGTTCTTGCCGCTGAAACACCTTGTGAGTATGCATCATAAAGTTATAACTATTGTGCTGTTTTTTTTATTTTTTTTTTTCCTTCTTTCTTTTTTTGAGATAATAAATAAATCTTTTGTCTGTAAATTCAATGAGATGAATTACATCGAGATATAATAGAATCCGATCAATATCATGAATAGCAATATCTGACAAATTGATTCATTTTTTTTTTGTCTAATGTTTTATGCTGGTCAATCCACTGTATTATTAGCCCTTAAGAAGTTTGAATTCTGATATTACTTGGAAAATTTTGAGGTAAATTAGACTAACTAGATAGTTCAAATGGGTGCATATTTTTAATTGTACCCACCCCCATATTTTCGGGTGTATATTTCTCTCTGAGTATCGGTTTGCAAGCTTAATCTAACTGTAATTTTACGTATGCTTTTAGTGTTGAGATCATAAGCTCCACTCTACCCATCTCAAATTTTTTTTTTAAAAAAAAATCGTAATAACTATAAAAAGAGAAAGAAAAGTTTACGATGTCACTACACATTATACAATCAAGATTTTTTAATACTGATATTACTTGGAAAATTTTGAGGTAAATTAGACTAATTAGATAGTTCAAATGGGTGCATATTTGTAATTGTACCCGCCCCCATATTTTAGGGTGCATATTTCTCTCCGAGTATCGGTTGCAAGCTTAGTCTGGCTGTAATTTTACGTATGCTTTTAGTGTTGAGATAATAAGCTCCACACTACCCATCTCAAGTTTTTTTTTTTTTTTTTAAAAAAAAATCGTAATAACTATAAAAAGAGAAAGAAAAGTTTAAGATGTCACTACACATTATACAATCAAAATTTTTGATATGATAAACATTGAACTGCTTGCTTCTTACAGTTTCTTCCACTATTAGAGATGTGCCATAACTCGAAGATTTAGGACCAGGTTGGTATTGGTTTTGGAGGCCTCAAAAGTTCTTTGCACATAAGTGGGTGCAAGGGGTGTGTTTGATATAAAAAGTACTTTGCACAAACGCCAATTCATTTATACTTCTTTTGCGATATATAAAAAAAGTGTTGACACATATTTTTCCCATGCTGCAGTTACAGTGAGCGAAGTAGAAGCCTTATATGAGCTTTTTAAAAAGTTGAGCAGCTCAATAATTGATGACGGTCTTATTCACAAGGTGTGTTTTTTCTTAGTTTGACATTTTAAAGTTTTTCAATGAAATATCTTTCAACTCTTCCGTCTTCTGAATTGCAATATGTGTTAGAAACATGATAGTGTAATATTATCTCTTCTCTTTTCTAATAGCTAATTACTCTTAAATATTAGATAGGTTTATTATATGCGTTCTACTTAGTGAATGATTTCGTATCCAATCGTTGAACAGGAAGAATTTCAGCTCGCACTCTTTAGAAACAAGAACAAGAGGAATCTTTTTGCAGACAGGGTACGTGATTCTAGTTCCTCCCGATATTTGTTACGAAATTTAAGGCACGTTTAGAACTCATTTCAAAATGATTTTATTTTTTATATAAAAATGAAAATGAAAACGTTTTCAATCTCATATATAAATTATTTTTAAAAATGCGTTTGGTAGTTTTATCAAAAGATTATTTTCAGTATAAAAAAAACTCATTAATGTCTCTCTTTCTCTCTGTCTACTCGAGAGAGGAGAAAACAAAAATAAAAAATGAAAAATGACTAAAAGTCGTTTTGCATTTCTCTCTCATTTTACACTAAATTAAAAAATCGTTTTTATTTCTATTTTTTTATCTTTATTGCGCCAAACGCCGTTTTGAAAACGTTTTAATTTTTTCTTTCTTAAAAAAATAAAAAATAAAAACGAGATTAATTCTAAACACGGCCTTAGTATTTCATTAAGTTACCATTATTTTGGCTTGTTAAGCAATCAAAAACAGCATCTTTCTTCTTGTAGATTTTCGATTTATTTGATTTAAAACGCAACGGGGTTATCGAGTTCGGGGAATTTGTTCGATCGTTGGGTATTTTTCACCCTAATGCACCTGTGGAAGACAAAATTGCATGTAAGATTCATCAATTTTCTTATTCAGATTATTATGTTTATGCTTAATTTTTGGTTTACCAAATCTCTATTAGTTTAACTGAACTACTTATTAAGATTGAATAATTAGCTTCAAATAGTTTAACTGAACTAGTTCTTCAGAGTAAACTATTTGCTTCAAAGAAATTTGACTTAATTACTCCTATAGACATATGTCATATACTAAGTTGATGAATATCCTTTTGCAGTTGCTTTTAGGCTGTATGATCTGAGACACACAGGGTACATTGAGCGAGAAGAGGTATGAGTGTTACAAATTCCTTCAATTTTAGAGTATCCATTTGTAGCGCACGTTTTTAAACTTTAAATTTGATCAAAATCAAGTCAAAATAAGATTTTTACTTAACTCAGATTCTAGTATGGATTTAACTATTAAGGGTCTGTTTAGTTTGCTGATTTAAGTTTTTAATTTGAATGGAGATGTAACTTTATGTGAGAGTTTTTTTATTGTAGTTAGATGTGACTATTTTTAAAATTTTTTTACTGTAGTAAAACTCGAATCAATGAAATAAAGAATGCCTAAACGTCCCTTGGTGTATAATTCTCATTCTTTATTTAATGTGATTTTCCTCTTACGTGCAATTTCTTTTTATTCGACGAAATTTATAAGTGGGAATTTTGTTGAAACTCGTTCACTTTGTTGATTTGAGTTTAAAATTTGAATTGAGATGTAATTTTATATAAGAGTTTTTTACTGTAGTAAAAAAATTAAATGTGATTATTTGTGAGAACTTTTTATTGAGAAAAACTCAAATTTTAAACTCGATCAGCGAAGTAAACGGGACCTAATGACAAAACTATGCAAAATAATTCTTAAAAAGTGAATCTGTCACATGGCAGTTGAAGGAGATGGTGTTGGCACTTTTGCATGAATCAGACCTGACACTTTCAGATGATGTGATTGAAACAATTGTGGATAAGGTTTGATGAGTTGCTCTTGTTTTTAGATTCTTATTAGACTTTTTTATTTTCTTTTTTTTTGCTGATTAAGACAAACACTCTAAAAGTTATTGTCTTTTTCTACAGACATTTAGTGATGCAGATACAAAAGGTGATGGGAGGATCGACCAAGAAGAGTGGAAGGCTTTTGTATTGAAACATCCGTCTTTGATGAAGAACATGACCCTACCATATTTAAAGTGAGCAGTAGTAAATTCTACAGCAATACTATTATAAAGTTGATTTGTATGTTTTTAAACATTAAATACAAAAACAAAACAAAATTTTTTTTTGCAAAACTAACAAAATCTAAACTGATTAAAAAACAAAAGAAAGAAAACCTTACTCATAATTTTTTTTTTTCATTTTTACTGTAAAATCTCATACAAAATTTGGTAGTATTTCCATTTTCTTTAACCTTATTTTTTTTCCCCCCCTTCATTTTCAGGGATATAACGTTAGCTTTTCCTAGCTTTGTAATGAACTCGGAAATGGAAGATTCAGATGTGTAAAACATAAAATAACATCAAACAAGGTGCCAACACCATACATCATGTATCCGAAAATGGCTACTGTTTCTTCATGTGTGTCGCGTTTGTGAAAGCAATTCGGATTCGGACATTGAACAATTCCATCTCTGAGATAATGAAAACTACGAGGAGCTGAAACAATGGAGCCATTACTTGAGATGCAAGTTACCACGGCGATCTGCAAGTTCTGTAAATAAAGTTCACATATGTGCAAATGTTTTCATTCTGAACGTCCTCCTTCTTGTTAATGTTTTTTGGAGCATAAGAAGAATTTTGACTATATAAGGGGAAAAAAAAAATGGTGCACAAGAGTTTTTATAAGAAGACCTTTGCTTTCAGAACTACATAAACTAATAATCTAAACCAATAAATCCATCATTGTCAGGTATAAAGAATAGTTTTATCCTTGAAATAAATTATTAAGGAATAACAAACAGAAAATATAATAAGTAAACAAATAATCATTAAAAAAATAAAAAACATGTTCATCCCCTTGTTCCCAACTCTTTCTTCTCCTAATCTCCTCTCTATTAAATCAAAAAATGCTTAGATATACTATCGGTGTTAAACATTATTATTAATAAAAAATGGGCGTCACGTGTGGATCTTCACACTGCGATACCAACATTATATTAGTAGATGATGCTTAGCACTACCGGTGTCTTAGAATAACTTTAACTATATTAGTCTTTTTATATTTTTAGCCAAAATGGCTAATGATTTTGTTTTGTTTTTTTTTTTAAGTTTTTCTCAACTCCAACCATTAGTTAAATAGTTATCTATTTTAGAGAATATCTTTCACACTAGCTAAATATAGTTAGTATGGAGAGACTAGCCATTTAATTCTTTTGTATTATTTTATTCTTTCAAATGTAATAAATGAAAATTTTTTTGTAAATTCAATAAAATTATTTATATTTTAAATTCAATAAATAGTAAAATAATCTATATTTAGCTACGAAATTGGGAATATGATTAGAGTGAATCTACTTAAAAATTACTAATTAAAATAGCTTCTTTTTCATTTTAGTTAAAATTTAAGTCCCGTTTAGTTCTTATACTTGAATCTATAATTCTGATTATAATATAATATTTCTCATCTCACAACAAATTTAAATTTAAAAAACTCTTCTCTCACAAAATTCATACTAATAAATCAAAATCACAAATTTTAATGTGCGAACCAAACGGACTTTTTTAAAGTGTTGCCTTCAAGATGATTTTATAGCAATGCTCTATCAAAACATAAACGTGAATCAGGGGACCAATCATCTACTACGTGTCCACTCAGTTAGGAAAGACTATAGCCAATAAGGGAGAGCCTTTGACAACGTGGCGAATCACTATTGGCCTTTGTGAGAGAGCCTATGGAGATGACGCGGAAAAATGATGTGGGAGTGGGACTTTGCTGGCAACACGTGGCGGGTGTGGAGAAAATGGGCAAAGTGGCTTTGGGTCGGGTTGCTTCTCCAACACCTAGGATTCGGTTCCATTTTTTTGTCCGTTTATTTTAGCCTCCAGTCTATTTTCATTTTTGTTTTCCATGGGAATGCGACACTCACGCTCTCTCCATGCGCCTCGTATATGCGTTTCAATGATTCTTAAATTATTATCTACGTTTTCAATTTGTTTTTCCTTTTTTTGCTTCTTTAATTATTTTTTCTCTCCAAGTCCACGATTGAGTACCAACTAACCACGGTTTTTTTTTTTCTTTCAAAGAACTAACCATAAATTAGAATCGAGAAATAATTAAGGGTACGTTCATTTCACAATTTAAGTAATAATTTATGATTTGAATTCTGTACGTGAGAGAAAAATATTATAGTAAAAAAGTTTAATTTAAATTTATATGAGTAAAAATACTATAATAATAAAATTTAAGTTGTGAAATTAACAATGCCTGAGAGTTTGAGATTCCGGAGGAAGATTGAAAGGTTTCTTTGCTTTTGAGGTATATAAGCATAAATGATTAAAATTTTGGAAAAATAATTTGTTTTAGGTTTCAATTATTGTCTTTTACCGAGTTCTAAAGAGAGAAAGTTAGAAAGAGGTGCTCTACAATAAGCTTAGAGAACTTAGGGTCAGTGATCTGACTATTCGTCGGGCTGCCGGCCTCCAAAACTCGTTAGAGAGATTGCAAAGGTCACCGGTGTCGAGTTCATGCTGACAGAAATATGGATAGTCACCGACATGAAGTTGTTCAAGGAAAAGTAGTTTCTAGTCTTCTACCTTAGATATAGGACACGTTTGCAATGGGATTCCATTGAAACTCCGAGAACAAGATCGTGGAAGGGAGGCGAGGAAAGTGGTTTGGAGCGTGTGGCAGTTGCCGCTTGTTGGCGGCAGCACGTGGGTACCATGCGCCGCCGTGTCTCCGGTGCTTTTGTTGCCATTTCAGAAGCTTTTCTCTGGCGCCACTTATACTGTGTTTCACACACTTCCCGCGTAAAGGGGCTCGATTTTGCTGGTTTGATTTCTTAAGATCCTTGTAGAATTTTTTCTGTTTTCTGTTTTTATTTGTGTTGTATAAAGATGATCATGTCTCTATCTACCACGTTAGGTCTTGGCTAGAGGGTAGTCTCCAATCGCTCTAAGTTCAAGTTATGTAGTCCATTTTGAGATTGAGATGTGATTCATCTGAAATTGTTTCGAAATGACTGAACCTTGTTATAGTGCCACTAGTTGGAAGAATTCTCTCCATTAGGATAAAAAATGTGTTTATATATTCTAATCATGTGAGTAGCATCCAGACCTTAACTCTAGTTTTATCCTATATCTTAGCCTTTTAGTAACTTTTAATGAAGTTATGTTATTGCCTTAAAAAAAATTATTGCCTTTTACATATACATTGTTAGTTTATTTAAATGAAACACCAATCACTCTTAACAAATTAAGTAGAATCATCAATTATTATCTAAAATAAACACGAGACTGAAAAAATTATGACCACTTTTTGAAGAAAACAAATAAAAAGATTACTTATCATTTTTTCCTTATTTTCATCAGACTAGTTGAAATGAAAAAAAAAAGATCTTAATAATACAAAATTAGGCCTCATTCGTTTCGCTGATTCGAGTTTAGAATTCAAATTTTGTTACAGTAAAAAGCTCTCACATAAAATTACATCTCAACTCGAATTCTAAATTCGAATCAGCGAAACGAACGATGCTAATCATTCAGTCATTCACTGAATAATCATAAAAGATGCTTCAAATTTTAAAAGGAAAAAAAAAAGAAAGAAAAATCCGTTCCAAAGCACATAAACATTCCATAATTACATGAAAATTTGCCTCTTCTTTTTATCCTTTAGTAATAATGAATCCTGAAAACAATCCAAGGCATCTAGTTATCAAATTGAAATTTTTTTTTTGAAAGGTCAAATTAAAATTTTACATTACCCTGCCTTTTTTTCGCTGTAATTTCCTTTTTTTTTTCTTCTAGAATCTATTCGCTGTAATTTCCTTTTTTTTTTCTTCTAGAATCTATTCGCTGTATTTTTTTCAATTAACCAAAAAATATGATAAAAATCAGTAAAATAAATGACAAAATTAAAGCAAAGAGCCAACGCGGTGTCTCGGAGCGTGAGAGAAACGCTTATCAAATTCGTTTTAAAAAAAAATTATTTTTCAACTTTTTGTGAAGAAGACGTATCAATTATCAAAATTCTTCTGTATTATATTCAACAACCGCAGAAATTGAAGATTGAGATTATAAATTATTTGACAATTACATACTCAATTATATGAAGGAAAAATAAACAGAGAAGATTGTCCTTCTTCTCTGTACTTTGCTTATAGATCTGTTTATCTATTCTCCTTTTCTTCATTATCACTAATTATAAATTACTAAACAATAATTACATATTTCCATTCAATAATTCATCGAAAAAATAATATCCAATTTTCCAATCTCTTCTTCTTCTTCTTCGTTTCATGGCAGATCGTTTTCACCTCTTTCCCAGGTCCCATTTCAATCCAAAAGTTTTCACCTTTTCCTTTTGTTTTCTCTCCTTTCAAGCTTATTACTTTTGATTAATTCACAATTAATTTACTCACCTTTTATTCTCTTTTAATTTCCTTTTTCCCTTTTTGTGGTTGTGGTGCAGTTTCGTAGCCTGTGATCGGATCCAGTGGATAACTTCCCACGGTGCTGAAAGAGAACTGATTCGCGAGGTTTCTTAGCAGGTAAATGCTGTTCTAGATTTAATAAACCAGTTTAATTGTCTTATTTTATTTTATTTTATTTTTTTGTTTATATTGGTTTCTGAAACTAGGAATGAAAATCATTGAATTGTAAGTTTATTTTATGTGGGATTTATCCATTCATTTATTTATTTATTTATATTGTTTTGGGTTCTTTTTCCCGTTTGGTTTGCTGATAAATTCGTTGAAAATTTAATTTAGTTTTTGAGATAGGTTTTAATTTTGGTTTCAGTTGTGACTGCTCAGTAATAGTGGATATATATATATATATATATGTAGATGTATGTATTTATGGATGACTTTTATATATTTAGTGAAAGAGAAATAAAATTGAATTTTAATACTGGGTTATTATTCCATTACTATGGTTTCTGTTGTGTTTTGCTATATTACTACTCAAGCATCAACCTTGCTGAATTATACACATATCTTTCTTATTGATTTTCTGAAGCTTTGCCACATTTGGTCCGTGACTAAATAGAAAACCTTTCTTTTTCTTTCTAATTTGTGTACAGTGAAAGACTTTTAGTTTGTATTTGTTTCCTTACCCAATTTCTGTTGTTTACGCTCTTTTTTTTTTTCTTCTTCTTCTTCTTTATGGTTTCATGATCTGCTGCTTTCCGAGGAACACCAGCCATCTGATTTTGTAATGCAAGCATTTGATGATGACAAAAGTAAGAAGAAGAATTTGAAGCGTTCAAGATCATCTCCTTGCAATATGCCTGTCACAGATTCCAATATTCTCGACGATTGTATTCTTTTCCCCGTTGAAGAGATTGTGCAATACCCGTTGCCTGGATACGTTGTTCCAACTTCAATCAGTTTCAGCCCTGATGATAACATTATAACTTATTTGTTTAGTCCTGATCATACTTTGAATAGAAAGGTTTTTGTTTATGATCTCAAAACTTCCAAGCAAGAATTGTTTTTTAGTCCCCCTGATGGAGGGCTCGACGAATGTAATATATCGCCAGAGGAGAAGTTGAGGAGGGAGAGGTTGAGGGAGCGCGGGTTGGGAGTTACACGGTACGAATGGGTGAAGACTAGCTCGAAGAGGAAAACCATCATGGTGCCATTGCCAGCAGGGGTAATCACCGAGTTACATTATTGTATGCTATTCATGGTGTGATAATAGGGCCCGTTTGGTTCATGGGTTCAAGTCAGTGATTTCGATTCTAAATTCAAATTTTGTGAGGGAACCCATTGGCAAGATCTTTTTTTATTCAAATTTTTTGTGAGAGAAAACATTGTAGTATAATCAAAATCATGGGTTTAAACGCATGAACCAAATGGGCCCTAGTTGTTACCCTTTTTTCGAATTGCTCCCTTTGATCTTCAACTGCTTTTTACACTCTCTTTAGTCTTATTCTCCCTCCTTTTAGGGTGATGAACTATTTTTGGGGTGCACCAATGGATTATCTATCAAAGTTCCACTGGCAATTGATTTGTACTTGTAGTTTTAATCACTATAAAATTTTGCTTTCACATAGAGTTCTTGAAATTATTGCTTGACATAGAGTACGAATAGGTAGTGTCAGTGATTATGAACCTAATTTTGCTTTGACATATTATCAGTGCTTTGACATAGTTTAATTTTCTGTTAGTTTTAACTTTTCTATCTTTTGAAAGCTCTTGTACCTTATAATGCACTAGATCATTTTCCTATGATATTTCTATCTTTTATATCAACCCCTTTATGTTTATACATAACAAATGCTGCATCTTTATGCTTTATATTTATCTATAACGTATGCCAGTATACTGTTAGCTGATGGTTGGTTTCTTTCTTTACGGACAGATATATTTCCAGGAGCTTTCCTCTTCAAAACCAGAGCTTAAACTTCCGAGCACTCCAAGTTCACCAATCATTGATCCACATGTATCACCTGATGGTACAATGCTTGCTTATGTTAGAGACTCCGAGCTGCATGTTCTTAATCTGTTGTATAATGACTCAAAACAGTTAACAAATGGTGCCTCAGGAGATACCTTGGTAAGTTTTACTCTAGGGTTTGCATCCAGGAATTTTGTTACGTGTCATGGTCTATGTTAGTTTACCAATCCATCCCAAAAGCTTAAGCTGTTAGGAGGTGTGCCAATAATAGTTTTTATACTTTAACACTCCCCCTCACGTGTGGGCTAGACAATGGGCAATCGTGTGGGTAAATTAATTGGAAAGCCCAACACGTGAATATTTAATCTCGAGATATATTAAAGACTCAACACATGATAATTTTAAATGGGGATAAAGAGTGCAATTACGGGAGTTTGAACTCGGGACCTCCCGCTCTGATACCATGTTAGAGTCTATTTAGAAAGTTATGAGATTTTGGCTTCCGACTTATATAAATCTGATTTCCTGTTTGTTTGCAGACTCACGGAATCGCTGAATATATAGCTCAGGTGAGACGATTATTCTGAGTTCTAGCACCCCCATTCATTTATTTCATGGTATAATCACATTGTTTTTTAGCTTAAAACTCAGAGGACATTTCTTTTGCTTTCAAAATTAAGAAGTCAAATCCAAAAACTATAAAATGATGGTTCCTTCATTTCTTGCACGGTTAAAGTTGAATTGTGTATGACATTTTGTAATAATTGATTAGGAGGAGATGGACAGGAAGAATGGATACTGGTGGTCACTAGACGGCAAATACATTGCATTTACAGAAGTTGATTCCTCTGAGGTCCCCCTTTTCAGAATTATGCACCAAGGTAAAAGTTCCGTTGGTTCAGATGCGCAGGAAGATCATGCTTATCCATTTTCTGGAGCTTCAAATGTCAAAGTTCGCCTCGGTGTAGTTTCTTCTGCTGGAGGTCCTATTACTTGGATGGATCTTCTCTGTGGAGGAACAAATCAACCAGAAAATGAGGAGGAATATTTGGCCAGAGTCAATTGGATGCCTGGGAACATATTAACTGCCCAAGTTTTGAACAGATTGCACACAAAGCAAAAACTCTTCAAGTTCGATATCAAGACAGGACAGAGAAGAGTTATATTGGAAGAAGAACATGGCACTTGGATTAACTTACATGACTGCTTCACGCCTCTTGACAGAGTAATAGGCAAATTTCCCGGCGGATTCATCTGGGCGAGTGAAAGAACAGGATTTAGACATCTTTATCTGCATGACCTGAATGGAAATCCCTTAGGGGCTATCACCGAAGGAGACTGGATGGTTGAACAAATCGCCGGTGTGAACGAAGCTGTGGGGCTAGTTTATTTTACTGGAACTTACGACGGGCCATTGGAATCCAACCTTTACTGTACTAAACTCTTCCCAGAGGGAAACCAACCCTTGCAGGCCCCAATGAGGCTGACTCGTAGAAAGGGAAAGCACGTTGTTGTGCTTGATCATCATATGAGGAATTTTGTCGATCTCCATGATTCACTTGAGTCGCCCCCTAAGGTTTTGCTTTGCTCCTTGCAAGATGGAAGCGTGATAATGCCACTTTATGAGCAGCCATTTAGAATTCCAAGGTTGAAGAAGCTTCACCTTGAGCCTCCAGAGATAGTCCAAGTACAGGCTAATGATGGGTCCGCGTTATACGGGGCTTTGTATAAGCCCGATGAAACCAGATTCGGACCTCCACCTTATAAAACTATGATCAGTGTCTATGGTGGGCCATGCGTACAGCTTGTATGTGATTCTTGGATAAACACAGTTGACATGAGAGCGCAATATCTGAGAAGCAAAGGCATCTTAGTATGGAAGGTTAGTATTCATAGCTTCAATCTGTGATCCCAATTTTTGTGTTCTAACTTTATCTGCGTGCAATATCAACGCAATGAGTTGATGTCGCTGGCTCAAGTTTGGATTGTTGTGCTTTTGAAAGAAGTTAAAAGCTAAAGAAAAATAAGATATCTCAAAAGATTAAGGGCTTGTTCTTTTAGAGTTTAACTTGAGTATAATTCTTGAGTTGAATTTGAGTTATAATTTGAGTTAAAGTTATAACTTGAGTTTGTGTTTGGTTGTGTACATTTGAGTTATGGTTTGAGATAGGAATCTTTTTGAGTTTGTGTCTGAGTGAATCAAAACTTGAATTTGTATTAAGATAGTATTTTAATAAAAACTCAATACTGATGAAAAATTTTAATAGGGTATATGGGTGAGGTTTTATTCGTTTTTTCGTTGTCAATGCATAAAAAAAAATCATCGTAATCAGAATTAAAACGATAACGTTATAGTATTTTTAAGAGTAAAAAAAATGTTGTTCATTAATTTGAATTCGAGTTCCTGAACTCGAGTTGAAGGGAAAATTTGAACTCGAGTTTAAACTTAAAAGAACATTAACTCGAATAAAGTTGTAACTCGAGTTGCCTTTTTTTGAGTTTTTCACTCAAAAGAACAAGCCCTTAAACTCGAGTTTTAGTCCCAAATTCGAGTTTGAACTCGAGTTCAAACTTAAAAGAACATTAACTCGAATAAAGTTGTAACTCGAGTTGCCTTTTTTTGAGTTTTTCACTCAAAAGAACAAGCCCTTAAACTCGAGTTTTAGTCCCAAATTCGAGTTTGAACTCGAGTTCAAACTTAAAAGAACATTAACTCGAATAAAGTTGTAACTCGAGTTGCCTTTTTTTGAGTTTTTCACTCAAAAGAACAAGCCCTTAAACTCGAGTTTTAGTCCCAAATTCGAGTTTGAACTCGAGTTCAAACTTAAAAGAACATTAACTCGAATAAAGTTGTAACTCGAGTTGCCTTTTTTTGAGTTTTTCACTCAAAAGAACAAGCCCTTAAACTCGAGTTTTAGTCCCAAATTCGAGTTTGAACTCGAGTTCAAACTTAAAAGAACATTAACTCGAATAAAGTTGTAACTCGAGTTGCCTTTTTTTGAGTTTTTCACTCAAAAGAACAAGCCCTTAAACTCGAGTTTTAGTCCCAAATTCGAGTTTGAACTCGAGTTCAAACTTAAAAGAACATTAACTCGAATAAAGTTGTAACTCGAGTTGCCTTTTTTTGAGTTTTTCACTCAAAAGAACAAGCCCTTAAACTCGAGTTTTAGTCCCAAATTCGAGTTTGAACTCGAGTTCAAACTTAAAAGAACATTAACTCGAATAAAGTTGTAACTCGAGTTGCCTTTTTTTGAGTTTTTCACTCAAAAGAACAAGCCCTTAAACTCGAGTTTTAGTCCCAAATTCGAGTTTGAACTCGAGTTCAAACTTAAAAGAACATTAACTCGAATAAAGTTGTAACTCGAGTTGCCTTTTTTTGAGTTTTTCACTCAAAAGAACAAGCCCTTAAACTCAAGTTTAGCCTCAAACTCGAGTTGAAGGGGAAACTTGAACTCGAGTTTAAACTTAAAAGAACATAAACTCGAATAAAATTGTAATTCGAGTTGTCTTTTTTTGAGTTTTTCACTCAAAATAACAAGCCCTAAAATTACAGAAAGCAGTTTTGTGCACTTTTACGGGAGAAGTGCTTTTAGGAGCTTAAAAAAAATCTTAAACTGTTGGCCTGTTTAGCATTTGCTTTGAGAGGCTGCTTTTAGCTTTTTACAAGAATCCATAGGAGGCCAGGATGTCTGGTAAACAGTACTAGCCTTTGATGGGCTTTTCCTTTTTGTCGTTTCTTTGTCTAATCATTTTGTAGTTTACTCTATACAGTTAGACAACAGAGGAACTGCTAGAAGAGGACTGAAGTTTGAAGGCTCTCTAAAGCACAAATTCGGTCAAGTTGACGCTGATGACCAATTGACTGGAGCAGAGTGGCTAATCAAACAAGGTCTAGCGGAAGCAGGCCTAATCGGGTTGTATGGTTGGAGCTACGGTGGTTTTCTTTCAGCTATGACTCTGGCCAGGTTTCCGGATGTCTTCCGATGTGCTGTGTCAGGCGCGCCTGTGACCTCGTGGGACGGCTACGACACGTTCTACACCGAGAAGTACATGGGGCTGCCATTGGAGAATCAGGCGAGTTACGAGTTTGGATCAGTTATGGACCACGTTCACAAGATGACAGGAAGTCTGCTGCTTGTGCATGGCATGATAGATGAAAACGTCCATTTTCGGCACACTGCTAGGCTTGTGAATGCTCTCGTTGCTGCTGAAAAGCCATACGAGCTGCTGATTTTCCCGGACGAACGTCACATGCCCCGCGGGCAGAGAGACCGGATTTACATGGAGAAGAGAATTTGGGACTTCATAGAAAGAAAATTTTCAAGTTAACTTCTGTGAATATTTCTGTTCTTGTTCTTTATGTTGTTCCTTTTGGTTATATAGCAGCAGTAAAAGGTAGTTCAATGCGGAGCCTCTCTCTTTTTTTCCCCTCTTAATTGGAGTTGTTGCCTATTTCTTCAATTTTTAGGCTTATCGCTAGACTTTTGTTTCGTTTCTTTTGATTGGAATAAGTTTATAATGTAATAAAATAAATCAATGGAAAAATATTCTCACAATCTAGAACCCCTTTAGTCTACGATTCCGTTCGAATATGAATAATTCGTGGATTTGAAAAAGAAAAGAAAAAGGTTCATCAAAAAAGCTTATCAACAAACATATGGATGCAAATTTCTTGTGAAACATGAGCAAAATATTTTAGGCAAATAGAAAACTGTACTATTTAATTTTATTTGCTTTTTTTTTTTCCCTGGTAATTCCCTGCAATGTGATTCATATTTTGAGTATAGATTTATGTTCAAATGAATTTGATTTACAGAACCAAAATTGGGTTCCAAGAAAATAGACAATTTTGTAGCTAAAAACTTTTCTCAAGTCTTTCAGACTTTTGTGACAAAATTTGATCGATTGACCGTTTGGTAACTGAAACTTTTTGGACCAAAAGAAGATTCCATCGCTCCTATCCAACCCTTCATGTTCATTAATGAATTATATCAAATCAGTAAGATAGTTTAGGGCCGTTTTATGCGTTTAAATTCATGATTTTGATTATGTTACAGTGTTTTTTTCTTATAAAAGATTTAAATTTCAAATGTCAGAATAAAAAATCACTAATTTGAACGTATGAACCAAACGAGCCCTTAATTTTTCATCTCTCTAATTAACAAATGTCTTTGGTTTATAGGTGAAAGTTTAGACCGCCGAGCTCGGTCCGGGCCTAGCGGCCAAAATGGAAATTTCAAGTCTGGCCGGCCCTGTCTGAAAGGGGAGAGGGTTGGCCGAGTCCGACCCTAACACTTGACAGGCTTAAGGCCAACCTGAAACTTTATAAGGTATCTTTTGAAAAATAAATTTCAAAAAGAGTGTTTAGACCTGTTCAGTCCTACCCAGAGTGACGAACCTTGAGCCGCTCTGCTTGACTTGACCCAAATTTATAACTCTATTTTAGACTAAACATAGTGAGGCCACATTAACTCTTAGAGGAAAATAAAGAAAACAGAAAAATAAATAAATAAGTAAAGTCGCTTCGTTCATTTTGCTGATTCGAGTTTTGCTACAGTAAAAAGCTCTCACAAACAGTCACATCTAACTTTTTTGCTACAGTAAAAAACTCTCACATAAAATCACATCTCAACTCAAATTAAAAATTCGAATCAACGAACTAAACGGGACCACCCTTTCCTCCGCGAGGCGTAAAAACGCAGGGCTATTGTTAACTTTATTTTATTACTGTTATCACAATAAAATAATCAAAAGAAAATCCACGTCGACTAAAGATTTTGAAGTTCAGTTCAATGAATATTATTTTCATTTGTTTACTTGGCAAGAAATTATCGGTCTGCTATATGTGGAATTTCGGAATTCGCCATTTATTAAAACCTCGAAACACAAGTTTATAAGTTAATCTTATTCCTCAAGAAAAAAAAAAATTAAAAATTTGAATAACACCATTAAGTTGCGGTTGAATAACACCATGAAGTTGCGGAGCCGAAGAGTGAAGAGCGCGGAACTTGTCAAAGCCGTTAGATTTAACGCCCGTCCAAAATTATATAAGGGTCTAAAAGTAACTTTCTTCATAAGCGGGAGAAAAAGAAAGTTCTAGATACTTGTAATGTATGCAAATTAATAAAGTCGTAGACCAATGTTCCAAATGTTCGAAGTTAGAGAGATAAATAATATTATTAACATTAAATTAATTAAGGCAGAAATTAAAACTGTTAACGTGAAAACTTTTCCTGAAAAAAGAAAACTATAGAAAAAGTAAATTAATACAATAATTAAAATATAAAATATATATGGAAGATAACGTCCGTTAATAGCACCAAAGCCGTTAATGACACCTCAATATTTCTTTCCAAGTCATCGGTCCAAGGCTATAAATATCATCCTCAGAAATGAATATCGTCTCCGTCTTCAGACGGACCCCTGCATTCGTTACTCCCTCCAACTTCATTTTTTTTTTCCTCGAGAAAAAAAAAAAAAAAAACTACGGAGCAAAAATATGGATTCTCGGGAAAATTTTCGAAGAAAACCGCAGAAATCTAACCTTCGGTGAAAATGACTACTGCGATATCAGGTTTCTTCCGCTGCCGTTCATCGGAATTTCTTTTAGGATGTTCGCTTCTCCAGGTAAGAATATTCTTCGCTTTTCTTTCCTTTTCTTTTTTATTTTGTTAACTTGTTTGGTTGCGGAGAGATGAGGAGAAAGAAAGCAAATTGTTAGCTTTATGTTAATTGAGTTATTTTCCGATTGGGACAATCCAGGATTCTTCTTCTTTTATCCTTTTTCTAAGAAATTTGATACAGTTCATCCACATTGGCGATATAGTGTTTGGATTCTGAGAAAAAAATTGAAAATTTAAAATAAATGAGGAAACTTTAATGATTTTGAGAAATTTCCTCATTGCATCTTTTATTTACTTATTTTCTTTTGAATTAAAATTGACTGGAAAGATAAAAACAGAAGTTATCTTTTAATTTTGTTCTTATGTACCTTGAAATCTTGTAGTTTTAGCTGCTAAATGCAATTGTTGCTTTTTTGTTTTCTTTCTCCTTTTGTTTTGTTTTGTTTATTATTTTAGACTATTCTTTGAAGAAGCAAACCAACGACAATAATAATAGTTTTACCTTTTTTCTTTTTAACTCATTCTTGTTATATATCTGATCTGAGAAATTCTTGATCTTTGTAGGATATTTGTATTCGAGCTTGTCAGAAGATTTCTTTCAACATTTCAAATCTTCAGATAACCTATTTTCAGAGGCATTGGGAGTACCGTGGGAAACTAGAATTTGATAGTATGCCGAATATTCTAATAGATTCTAGGTTGTTAGTATAGTTTTCAGGAGGAACTAGAGATTTTCTAAAGTTCCTATGCGATCAAGGGTACTGGTTTTCATGGTTAAAAATGTTTCCCAGTATGGAGCGAGTGACCTTTTGATGTAGTCTAGAGTTCAAGGATTGCAAATTGGTTTTAGTCACTGGGTTTTTGTAGATTTAGGGGGCTAACAATGCCCATTGCAAAGGTAGCTCTAACTCCAGAATATGAAGAACCTTTGAATCATCCTGCTAATCTTACAAGTCAAAACAATATGGGTTCGAGTGAACCAATCGTGATTTACCTCACTGTCAATGGTTCTGTGATTCCCATGCGAATTATGGAGTCCGACACCATTGCTTCAGTGAAGTTGAGAATCCAAGCTTCTAAAGGCTTTTTTGTGAAGAAACAAAAGTTGGTATTTGAAGGAAGAGAACTGGCTCGGAACAATTCTTGTGTACGAGACTATGGAGTTTCTGATGGAAATGTGCTGCATTTGGTGCTTAGGATTTCAGATCTCCAAGCAATTACTGTTAAAACTGTATGCGGGAAGAAGTTTGAATTCCACATTGAGAAGAGTAGAAATGTTGGTTATGTGAAGCAGCAAATTGCTAAGAAAGGGAAAGGGCTCATTGATATCAAAGACCAAGAACTGATATGTGATGGCGAGGAGCTTGAAGATCAGAGACTCATTCATGATATTTGCAAAATAAATGATGCTATGATTCACCTGCTGGTAAGGAAACCTGCCAAAGTAAGGGCGAAACCTATTGGAAAGGATTTTGAAGTGTCTATTGATGCATCAGATTACCTTGAGAATAGGACTAATTTAGTGAGAGAATATCAATGGGGAAAAAAATGTTTAGTTGGGAAGATCATAAAGAGTAAGCAGTTGCAGAGAGATTTCCTTTTGGAACCTCTAGTTATAAGTTCTGAGATTGAACTCTCATTAGTTATCAAAGAGCTAATTAACTCTACTTGTAATGGGTTAGAGAGAGGAAATGAGCCTATTCGGTCTACAGATGGAACAGGAGGAGCTTACTTTATGCAAGATTCATCTGGTCTGAGTTATGTTTCTGTTTTTAAGCCAATTGATGAAGAGCCAATGGCTGTGAATAACCCGCGCGGTTTGCCACTGTCATATGATGGTGAAGGCTTAAAAAAGGGAACGAGGGTGGGAGGGGGCGCACTAAGGGAAGTTGCAGCATACCTTTTGGACCATCCAATGGATGGACCTCGAACCTTCAATAGTGAAAAGGGATTTGCTGGTGTCCCCCCCACGGTTATGGTCAAGTGCTTGCACAAAGGATTCAATTATCCAGATGGCTATGAATATGATCGCAAAAATGTTAAGGTTGGGTCACTGCAAATGTTTGTAAAGAATGATGGAAGTTGTGAAGATATGGGTCCTCGGGCGTTCCCTGTAGATGAGGTACATAAAATTTCTGTATTGGACATAAGATTGGCAAATGCAGACAGGCATGCTGGAAACATATTGGTTCAGAAAGACGGCAAAGGTGGTCGGATTGTGCTTGTTCCAATTGATCATGGCTACTGCTTGCCAGAGAGTGTAAGTCTTTAACATATCATTTAGACGCTTAAATCTTAATTGTAGTGCAATGTTATTCAATCCTATGAATATTATTCATTTCTCGCTTCCCACCCTCCCCCACTTTTTTTATTTTTATTTTTTGCTCTAATTTTAATTGAGATAGTTTTATAGAATATCGTAAGTTAGTTTAAATGAGAGCTCAATTTGTTTAGAAATCATTCATCTCTTAGGGAATTCAAGAAGTCTAAAAGTGTCATGTCGTGCCTCATAGATTCTATTGTATTTCTACATTGCATTTCATCATATATAATCAAAATTGTTTATGACATTGTTTTCACTGAATGTACGAGTCAAATTTTAAGCTTTATCATTTGTGTCCTAAGTCTTAACTATCTAGCTTGCCTGTTCCAAACTGCAGTTTGAAGACTGCACATTTGAGTGGCTTTATTGGCCTCAAGCTCGGCAGCCTTATTCCCCTGACATTCTTGACTACATCAAATCATTAGACGCTGAACAGGATATTGAACTTCTCAAGTTTCATGGGTGGAACCTGCCGCCCAAGTGTGCTCGCAACTTTCGAATTTCCACGATGCTTCTAAAGAAAGGAGCGGAGAGAGGACTGACTCCCTTTACCATCGGAAGCATCGTGTGCAGAAAAACTGTGAAGGAAGAATCTGTTATTGAGCAGATCATCCACGAAGCAATTGAAGCTGAGCTCCCAGGAACGAGTGAAGCCGCATTTCTCAAGTCCGTGTCAACAATTATGGATCGACGGCTTGATCATCTAAAGAAGGCCATGTAGTAAATGTGTAGACATATCATATATGTTATTAGGCAAGGGACTCTAGTTCAGCTACTGCTTGTTCAGTCTTTGGCACTCGTGTCCCAATCATTTATTTATTTATTTATTAATATCCTCTATTAGTTGAAGCGTATAAAAATAAACCAATACAAAGTATTTGTAGTCAATGCAAAATGTTTCTGCAGTGTTCTTTCGTTATTTCCTAAGCTTTCTGATTTTTTTTTTTCCTTTCTTATTTAACAATGGCCCTCTTCCAGGATTGCCTTTTATACAAGTGGTCTATTGGATAGAACCTTCAAAAATCCAAGGATAAGAAAAATAACGGTCAACTTCAGAGTCCAGCCAAAGAAGAATGTGGTCCTAGTTATCTGACTGGAATCACTGTCCACTTGGACATGATTGGTGCATTAATTGTCTTCTTAACAGAAAATGGCGTCTCTGCTATACCCAGTGATCGTTGTACACTTGTACCAAAGGATGACTGTGGTGATCCGTTTGGGATGCGGGTTCAAAAACAGGTGATTTGAACATAACTCAACTTTTATGAGAGAAAATATTGCAGTGAAACTTTATAAATTCATTTTTTTTATAGAGAAAATACTGTTTAAGCCTACATCCTCCAAGCTCCAAACTTGAAAGCCACCAGAAGGGGAAAAAAAAAAAAGTTAATATTCTTCGGACAAAATCATTTGTCGTTTATTTCTATCATGTCCATTGTCCAGCATCTCTTTAACACATGCCAAAAAGAGCATGTGATAAGTAATTGATCACGCAACATGGATTGCCGAGATGGTGTTTTGGAAAGAAAGAATGAAATCTGACAACACTTGAAAAAGAAAAAAGGATGATGATGCTGATCTCAGTCTTATTAATATTTATGCGACGGTGAAGGAAGATCAATTCTGGAGGAAACCGGGCATGTGAGGAACTCCCTATCTTGTGGTTCGTGATCCATAAAATGGATGGAATGATTGGACACCACCAGCCGACCACAGCTGGCCGTGCACTCTCTTGAAGTTGGCAATTTCTGACTCATTTATTGTGAGGGCCATGGTTGCACTTTGTTTTGACTCGTTCACATACTAACCAAAAACACTCAACTCAAACATGATAAGAGTTTTGCGTAAGTTTGATGACTTCATGCACATTGTCTTCCCGACAAATGGGCATGTGGCAGTAGGTTTCAGAATTTAAGACTACTCGTTCTTTCAATTTAAAAATTTAAATTAAAAAGTGAATTTATATAAGAGAAAATACTGTAAAGTAGTGATTCGAATGATGAAACTAATGAAGGCTAAGTTTCTAAGTCAACAAATTTCTCTCTTATTTTGTCGAGCGACACAAATTTGAGGAAAAAATTCAGTGCCTAATCACCACCAGCTAAGAGTGCAAGACCAACGTTTTCCACCAATGGCCAATAAAATTGAAGTTAAAGTGGATCCTTGGTTTGGTGGCAGGTTTGAGTTTGGACAATACAATGGATGTGGCAAGACATGAAGTAATAAATCAAAATTGATGTGGTTGAGGCCTTTATTTACTGAGCGACAATGTGGGGACACTTAAAATAGGGTCACAACATTTATAGCCAAAAAAAAAAAAAAAAAAAAACAATAAATAAAAAAGCTGGCCTCAACACAACAGTGGTTTTCCTTCAACCGCCACCGATACCATTAAAGCACATGAAATCTAATCCCATATTGGACAAATTGGATTCCAAAGTTTCCACTTACGGAAATATCATTTTCACCCTTCCGCTACAAAAGTTTTAAAAAATATATATTCAGCAAAAATATAATAAAATAGGCATCTAAAAGAAAAAAAAATACTATATTTTATTCATAGCTTCTATAAAATATCACCGAGTTAATTAAATACACCAAAAAAAAAAAAGTAGGGGAGAGATTAACGGTGGTACTAATTGCTATATCATGTGGAAAAAATAGAAACAGAGCAGAAATGAGAGAAACTATTTCCATATATAATCACGAGGAAGAAGCGGGCCCCACCAGGTCACCCTTAAATGGGCTTGGGCCCAACGTGTACGGCCTAGAAAAGCTCAGTGTAGATTCCTCTTCTTATATTTACACCGATAACCCGGCCAGGAACGCCACCCCTGTCGACGGCAACCACGACGACCCATATATGAACTGTGCCACCGTGAACTTGCTAGCCTCAACCGTCGACGTTATGACCCGATAACCCGGCCATTTCACCCGCTGGCCCACGGCCCCACCCGGCCCAGAATTCATGTACTCTCCGTAATAAAGACTGTCGAGGGCAAAAGTGGCATTCCACTCCAGCCATCCACGTGGATGGATGTGATCGCCCATGTAGGACATAAGGTAAACGACTCTGGAGTAGAGCTTCCACGGACGGCCCAGATACGTCGGGAAGCTTCCCTTGGAGGCCTGGAGATCGGACGTGGCGAGGATCCGACAGGCGTGGATCGAAATGCCCGTGTTTTGGTTCGGGTCCTTTCGGTTTTGGGCCGTGATAGTGTTCTTCTGTTGGGGCATGGGCTTTCGGGCGTAGATGCTGCAGTTTTGGAAAACGACGGCGGCGTTCCCGAATATGAAGTCAACGGTCCCGTAAATCTCGCACTCCCGGAAGAATTGGCGATTGGAGTGCACGTACAGGGTGTCTTGGTAGCCGATGGCCTGGCACCGGTAAACCACCGCGTGGTCTGCGCCAATCCGGAGGGCCACGGCCTGGTGCCTTCCTGGGCCGGCCCAGTTCGTGAACGTTATGTCTCGTGCGATAAAGCCCGCTCCAGTTGCAGCTGTGTCGGTCATCAAGGGTAATTCAGTAATAACGAAAAAAATACATGAAATAAAAAAATATATAATTGTCCAATAACAGTCAATATGATTGTGATTTTGTGTTAGATACCGTGGAAATGCTCGGTATTGTGTCCACTAGATGTTTATGGTTTTCAAGAAGAAAAAACTATGATTGATTTTGACACGAGGAGAAAGAAAAAAAGCGTATTTTGCTTTGGATTCTGTGCAATTTTGAGAAACATTCTAGGTTGATTAGATTAATAATACTATAGTTAAGTTCCATCTCAATCAGTCTTTACCCATTTAGCATTTAGCATTCTTAGTGCTATACCACAAAAATTAATTCCTTTTTCATTTTCCAAAAAGGAAACAAAGAGGAAAAAAAAAAAAAAGTGCGGGAAGGGTAATTACGTCCTTAAGGAGAGAACTGGAGAGGTGACGTAAATGTTTACGTCATAATGAGGAGAATCTTAGTTGAGGACAAGCCACGTGGAGCTTTTTTATAATCGTATAGTGGTGTGAGTGTACTGGTGAGTGTGTGATATGATGCCATTTGTGTTTTTTATTATTATTTTTCCCTGAAAAGAACAAGGAAGAGGTAATAACGAAATAATGATTACAAAAATAATTAACATCAGAAAGCACAGGGAATTAATTTTTACCGAAAGATGCCGTGTGGAAAGTCGTCAGTTTATCGGAAACGCTTTTTCCTCCCGATATTACTGTTTTGCCCGCTCCGTCTCCAATAAACATTACATTTGTTTTCTTCCTTCCCACCTTCAAGTTATTCTCTTCGTACCTGAGAAATAAAATACCAAATTTGAAATTAAAAACAATAGAGAAATAACTAATCTTGATTTGTCACAAACTAAAATACTTGAAAAGCTGATATATATATATATATATATATTTTTTTTTTTTTAAAGAAAAAGGTCGTTGATAATGCGAGGGTATTATCGTACATGCAAACCACCAAACTCCAAAAGAATAAACTGAAGTCACATGGCTTATAGTTTCATCATTACTGAGCTTAATTCAACGAACCAATTCGCTTCATTAACGAAAATTACGCGGGGGAAAAAAAAAAGAAAAACTCAGGGAAATGACATTCCACGATATGATCAGAATCCATTTCTCGTCCTCTGTACCCATAATTTTCTCTAAAATTGATGCTTTTCTTAGGGAAAAAAGAAACATTTCATGCATAATTTAAGTACAAAATAGTAAATTTGTTTTATCTTTTTCTTAAGTATAAAGTTTAAAACTCTGTTTAATTTTTTAATTTAAATTAAAAGATAATTTTATGTGATAATTTTTTATTATAATAAAAAAATTATATGTGTTTAATTGAGAGTTTTTTATTATTATAAAATTTAAATTTTAAACTCAAATTTATAAAATAAACCGGTTTTAACTAGACACACAATATTAAAGTAGTTAATTTACCTTCCTGCCTTTACGTAAATTACGATCCGGCGAGTGCTATGCTCAGGCACTTTCTTTATAGCCTCAGCGATCGTCTTGTACTCCCGACCATTAGACCCATTTCCGTCTTTAGACACCACGATATCCGCCTGTATTGCCGACACCGGCAAAGCCAAAAGCCTCCTCTCTTTCCTCCCCAACCATCTCGGGAAATCCCCCGATATATCGTCCTCCTGCATTAATCTCCTCCTGTTCTGTATCGGAACCCCCGAGAAATCGTCCGTAACGCTACCTGAAAATATCGAGAGACAATTGCTCAAGAGCTCCGACAAGTCCCTCAGGCTCTCCGCCATGTGACTCTTCACGCTCCCGCCGGCGACGCCGTCGAATCCCTCCCCGCAGGTGTCCTGGTTCGTCAGCGCCGCGCTGAGCCACGTCACCACGTCCTGGCTGGAGGCGCCGGAGATCGGTTTGGCGGAGCCGCCGGCCACCGACGGCGCAACGGAGGTGAGCGACCGGGATAGCGCGTCGATGGAGTCGTCGAGGAGCTCGAGGCAGCCGTCGTAGGCGGACCGCGAGAGTGGGTCCATAGCGAGGTAGGAGATCCCGGAGGAGGCGTAGAGAGCCTTGCTCAGCCGCTGGAGAGTCATGTTGAAGGAAATGTGGACCAGATCTTCCTCCGTCGCCGTTAGGGCGCCGGGGAAATCGACCAGCGAGTTCACGCAGAGGCTCGGGAACCGAGTCTTGCTGCAGGCTCGGGAGATCGCCTGGGTCGGCTTGTGAGCCAGGCCCGGGTGGCCGGATTGGCCCGAGGCTCTGGTTCGGACTCCGATGAGGAACACGGCGGAGACGGCGGAGGCGGTGATTAGGACAATGGAGACCACGGAGAGGACGACCAGAAGCTTCTTCTTCGAACGGTTTCCGCTTGACGTGGCGTGCTCTGATTGGTGGCTCAGGTCCATTGAGGAAGAGCCTCCCGGATCGGACGGTTCTAGCTTGCCGTACCCCATTCTCTTACTTTCACTTTTCTTTTTTTTAAAAAAAAAATTCAAATATTGTTTTTTAAAATTTCTGGAAGTGAAAGCTGAAGTCTTGAATATGTTAGTGAGAGAGAGACTAGGGAGGTGCTGGACGTGGGGGGTGTTAAATATTGGGGGGTGGGGGAGTGTGTGTATAAATAGCCTAATGCATGTTTGAGTTCAGAATCTATTATAAAATTATAAAAAAATAGAAACTATATGTATATTTGTGTATATAGTGCGAGAGAAATAGAGTAAAAGAGGTGGGTGTAAGGTCTACGTCTTGGGCATTAGCTGGCTGCTACTTCACCATTGTCCATTGCCCACTTGCGTTGAGAAAGAAAATTAATGGCCGTGTGTGAGAGTGAGAGTTAGAGAGAGAGAGAGAGAGAGAACCATATGTACTACATGTGAGAATTCTTATTAGTAATTCATCTTCGTGTCAATTCGTTTATTAATCGTGTCAAAAAATATTAATCTAAACACAACATATTTATTAAACGTGTTAAAAATGTCAACTCAAACATGACATATTTATTAATCGTATTAATCGTGTCAACCCGTTTAAATTAATATATTAAATAAATAACTAATATAATAATGACTTATTTAACACAGTTAAGACAAATTTAATATGTTTATTGATTAATTTATCTTTTCTTTTAAGAAAAATAAATGAAATTTACCTATAAATATTAAAATTCACATTATTTATATTTAATATGTCATATAAATATTCATGTTATATCACGTATCATTAAATTGCAGATGACACATATTGTTAATCGTGTCACTTCATGCTAAGTGGTCAACCCTAATGCAACCGATTTATTAATCGTGTCAACCCGATTATAACCTAAACCCATTTATAATAAACCAAAACCCGTTAATTTCGTGCGGGTTTCGAGTCGTGTCGCTACCCAGATTACCAGCCTTATGATGTAAAACTAATCTTTTCATTACACTTTTTTCCCTTCTAAATCCAATCTGAAGCTAATTACTAAAATGCATGGAAGTAGTGGGATTATCATGCAGAGAAGTGTGACGTGAGAATTTTGGTAAAGTGCTTGAAGGGATCAATAGTGTGGATATGTGGTTCATTGGTTCTCTTAGCTCCTAAGCTAAGTGCTGCTCTCTTTGATGATCTTAATTCTTTGAGTGGTACTAATTAGTGGGAGTGGAGCTTTTCAGCTTGTCCTTGTCTCAATTACATTTTGGTAAAAATAAATAAATAAATAAATACTAAAAGCAAATTAAGAGAAAGAGAAAATGTGCTTCGATATAACTTTGTTGGATGTGTGTATACTCTTTTTAAGGAATAGGAATGTGTTTGAACATTGATGCTTGGAGCTAGGTTTTTATAATATGATTTTAGTAAATAAATGGTGCTAATCAAAAACTATACTTATGCGTTTGGTCTAGCTTGCTTAGGAGAGAAGAGTTATAAATCTGCTTGGAAAATACGTCCAATGTTAAGTTATTTTCTCTTGATCCTTCCTTTCTTATTATCATTTTAACTCCACGAGTTTTATTCCTTTCCAAGTACTGCTTTAATTCCATAGTAGATGCGTGATCAATTCGGTATCAAAAAATTCTACATTTCACTCGCATTCACTTAACTTATTACACCAAAAGCCAAATCATTGTATAGCAAGCATATTGTAATGTCCTATTATAGATATCATAGCCCAAAGGTGGTCTAACTAATTTCTATTTTTTTGAGGTATTTTAATTATAGGAAAATGAAGGGCTTGTTCTTTTGAGTGAAAAACTCAAAAAATTGCAACTCGAGTTACAACTTTATTCGAGTTCATGTTCTTTTAAGTTTAAACTCGAGTGTAAACTCGAGTTCAAACTCGAGTTTACGACTAAAACTCGAGTTTAAGTTTCCCCATCAACTCGAGTTCAGAAACTTAAACTCAAATTAATGAACATTATTTTTTCTATTCTTAAAAATGCTATAACTTTTTCGTTTTAATTCTAATTGAGATAATTTTTTCTCTATGCGTTGACAACGAAAAGATGAATAAAACCCGACCCATATCCCATATTAAAATTTTTCATCAGCATTGAGTTTTTATTAAAATACTATCTAAATACAAATTCAAGTTTTAACTCACTCAAACACAAACTCAAAAAGATTCTTATCTCAAACCATAACTCAAATGTACACAACCAAACACAAACTCAAATTACAAGTTCAACTCAAATTATAACTCAAATTTAACTCAAGAATTATATTCAAATTAAACTCTAAAAGAACAAGCCGTAGCTTTTACACGAATGATGATCACCTTTCTCCATTTGAATGGTTCTCCGTTTTTTTTTTTTCTTTAGTAAGGTCCATTCTTTACACTATTAGCACTAAATTGGGCCTCTTTTTTTTTTTTTTTTTTTTCCTTTTTTCTTTTTTTGAAAGGAAGAAGATAAGAAAAGATGGGTCCATCTTTATAAAAACTTTTTTCTTTCTCTCTCTCTCTCTCCTTTTATTTTTCTTTTTAAGAATACATCTTTACTCTTACCTTTTGTCCGACTATCTCAAAGTAAAGACACAAGCTGGTTTCATCTACAATGCCAGAAGTTATTAAGAGTTGTTCAAGATTTCTACCCAAGAAAATTTAAAAAAAAAAAAAAAAAGAAAAAAAAGTTGGACAAGAAATGTCCCCACGTAATTTAAAAAGGTATACATAGGCAGAGATTTTTGGTAGTTACTTCATTATATTTGTTGTACTATAACGCGAATAATGAAAACTATTCAATGTTGACCTATATATGCCATATTCGCATTATATTTATAAGAACAAGCAGTAAGGAGTAAAGTTTAAAACGGAAAATAAATGAGGATAAAATTCAAAGAGTTACTGATCAGGTAATAGAACAAACAATATCAGACGAGTGAATAAGTCACTGTCGAGTACTGGTAATATATAAGCTAGCCACTTGTTTCTCTCTTTCTCTCTCTTTATTTTTTATTTTGAGATTACTGGAGTCTTTAACTTTTGATAATTAACAGGCGATCTGTTTAATTATAAATGTTAAACAAGTTGGATTCTAGATAACAATGACGGACTCTACTTAATTATTTGCTTGTTTTTTTAATCTAAAGTCTGTTAAAATTAAGTGATCATTTCACTTCTAATGAACAGCACTGTTCCTTGAGTGCTAATTGTCCCTAATTTATTATTTTTTTTAAAATATGTGTGTATATCCAATCGAATTGCCCACGTACAACTTTTGGCGGTCGAAAGGCAAATTAACTTTGTGAATTATAATTTTTAATTCGAGTTGAGATGTGATATTTTCTGAAAGTTTTTAATTATAATAAAAAAAAGTTAGATGTGATATTTTTTGAGAGTTTTTAACTGTAGAAACCTAAAATTAAAAATTTAAATCGGTAAAATGAACAAAGTGTAAATATATGCTTTTTGAAATCCCCCAACCCATCTTACAATTGCAGATCCTCCAGATGATGTGTTAGACGTTAAATTCTAATCTTAAAAAATCAATAATAATTGTGCTCCAACAGATTGATGCGAAAAATTGCCATTAATTTGTTACTATTAGTATAATATATTCTTTGCTAAGTTCAAACTAATGGATCATACTTTAACTCTTGATGTTGACACCGAGGTTAAAAGAATATAACCACGATGTTTGGTTGTCTTCTGCATTTACCTTACATATTTACGAATATATAATATTTTTCCTTAATATATAGTGTGTATATATAGTTAGATTAGCAAAAAAAAAAAAAAAAAGTATAATTAGCTTATCAAGGTCTTTTTCTGCAAATTTAACAGAAGTGACAAGAGAGAAATGTACGTTAATGTTATTACAAGTTCCAAATGAATTACGGTCATGGGTTCTTTAAAAGAACAAAGGAAAAAAAAAAAAAAAAGATTAGGATTTTTATACCCATCGATCCCTACCATTCAGTACACGTGAATACAGAAAAGCATCCTTATCCGGATACCCTCTTATACGCTCATCCTTATCCTGGATACCCTCTAATTATACGCTCCAACCACTGAGTGACTGAACTTTTAATTTTGTTATTTTTCTGATATTTTTCTGTATAAATAATGTTTAGATACCATTAATGTACGCTCTGTAAATATCCTTTATTGCTTGGCCATGTATAGTCCATAGAACAATGCAAAGAACATATAAAATAAAATTATAAGCTATAGATCATCAAAATCATTTATTTGTCATTTTAATATAATTTACTGGAGGTTGGTGGTAATTATTAAAAACAAAATTAAATTCTACTTATTCCGAACAATTATTCTTGTTTTTTTCTTTGTGTTATAAACTTACTGGAAATATATAAGCCCCGTTTATTTCACCGATTCGAGTTTTGTTACAGTAAAAAGCTCTTAAAAACAGTTACATCTAACATTTTTTGTTACAGTAAAAAGTTTTTACATAAAGTCATATCTCAACTCGAATTAAAAACTCGAATCAGCGAACTAAATATGTTCATAATGTCTTAATTATATAATAAGTTTTCCAAGGTTGGATTTTTGATAAAATACGGAATCTTTGTTTTATAAGTACAAAACTTATGTTATACCATATCCATGCATGCATGAGACTTGGGTTGACATTCTTTCCCAGCTTCTTTACAGCTCATGCATTTGAGCCTTTCTCTTTTCTTTTCTATTAAGTTATTCCGTTTTTTTCTTCGAGAGATCATGTAATAGTACAGTTAGATCTGCTTTTCCTCTCGCTTTGTGATGTTAAAAAGATTTCAGAAGAAAAGTTATATATATATATATTTTTTAATAATTTCAAGTTGTACTAAAAGAGAAAATTTTCTATTGGCTATAGGAAAAGAAACTTTTGTTCCTCACAAATTAATTGAAAGTGCAAAAAAAAAAAAAAAAAAAAAAAAAAAAATGCCCAGACAGAAGGTCAATCTATATACGAGGAAGGAAAATCTTTTGGGATCCAAAGAGAATATCAAAATATAATATAGTTAACATTTAGGCAAATGAATTTAAATTCTTGAATTGGGTGTAAAAGTACGCAGAATTGGAAAGTGCCATTCCAATAAAAGTTAGTTTGCCACATTTGCACCACATATAGAATCAAATAGTGACCATATTATTATTAATACATATATGTCTTCCGTTGTTAGAACCCAATATAATTAGTTGAGAACAGAAATTGTCTTTTGCATTAATTTGGTGCGACCTAAAGAAGGGCAAAATCGTCATAACAAGTGTAGGTGAAAACCCTAATCAGATAAGTACGGACCCACCGACAGAGTTCAACTGTAACGAAATGTTA